CAATTACTTTGTTTCCATTTATAATTTTATGTTTAGCTTTACTTTGTCATACCAGAATTTAATTCCATTCCTGTAACGTAGAATCCATGCACTTTAAAATTATTATTATTTATATTCTTTATATCTGTTTATTTTATCATTTATTTAACAAATCCTCTACAAAACTATGTACAAAATGAAAACTTTTCCACCTTTAAAAATATGTTGAATGATTCCGTGAAAGTTAATAAATACTAATATGATTCATTATTAATAAAGAGAATAACCTGTTTTTGTCACTAACCTTTATAATAATTGTATTAAGAAATATATTTTCACTGTTTTTTACATAAGAAAAAAGTCGTGTTTGCTTGAAATTTTCTTTGACACGTCATATACATAAAATGCTCTAATAATTTCTATGTTTTTATAAGAGACACTCCATCTATTTTTGGTTGAAGAAGACGACATGACGATATAGTCTTTCGGAATTCCTCTGCATGCGTTATATGCAAAATTCAAATTTGAAAGTATAACCGTAAATTCAAATATGTAGACTACAAATATTTCAAAATTTATGTTCCTAGAATACGGAGGTGAAAACTAATATAAATATAATTTGGTACGTAAAGTAAGTGTATCAAACAATGGAATTCAATTACTTGTCGCTGTGGTCTTATAAAAGATAATTGATAATGTTTGTGAATATGGCACAGAAACCTAATTAATGTTCATACACGAGACTCATATCGCTGAATGGGTGAATTAATTACGTTTTCAGATATAAGATTTTATCTCGAGATGTTTTTCTACCATGCACGTAAGGGACGATTCATTTATTTGCTGATCTTTTGAACTTGTAGGGATACCTTTTAAAACATTTTCACGACTTTATTAAGTCAGTAGTGGCCTAGTGGTTAAAAGGCCCGCCTCTCGTGCACGAGGGCGTGGGTACGATCCTGGCAAGTACCAGTGTGATTTTTCCTAGCGATATTTGAAGTTTGAAATCACCAACTCGTCTTAAGCAAGCGTGGTGAGTAATGCTCAAACTTCTCCATGTGAGAAAGAGCCCTTTGCTCAGCAGTAGGCTGATGACGATTAAATATATTATACATATATATCTCGTTTATACGTGTAAGTCTGAAGAATTCACAGAAAAATAACATACATTTTTAGATACGGTCACGTTTAAGCACATTTTATGTTGCAAATATTTTGGATTTAAAATTTCAACAATTCTTATTGTTTCTTCTAGGTGTATATGTAAAGGTCAGAACTATGTATTTTTTTGGAGTTAAGTGAAAAGTAATGCATTATTAAAATTCTTTCACACATTCATTCGTTACTCACACTCACACATGCTTATACACACACATTCAAACGCCGACGTTTATAACCCCCCTCTTTTTGGGTCGGGGGCTAAAGATATGAATAACACATTTTTTTAATTAAACACAATTTTTCCCCTACCTTCTTTCTTAGTGAAGTTTAATAAAGTACTTATCGTGTTCTTCGAAGATTGTTTTCTAAGACCAAAAAATGTAATTTAGTTAAATATATTTTTCTTCAAAAGTTAGAATTTACATAAACTTCAATAATTAAATGGTCAGTAAAATAATTTTTGAAAGAAGTTAATATTTATTCAGTCAAATTAATGCCGGTCGCCACTTTGTTGTTTCCTATAATATAAACGATATTTAGATTACCTTTTATTACTAAAACATTAATACTTTTTACACTTAATACATGGTCGATATTCTTCAACAACAAAATAATTCCCACAGCCAAGTTTTATTTCAAATGTTATCCATACAAATCCCAATACCTGTTATATGAAAATCTTTTAATTTCAAACCAGCAATAAAAAGCTACCAAATGAGATGTGAACCACGATTTCGGGCGATTCAGACAAATGAGGGTAAAAGTGAAAGGGTCGGCTCTGATGGTACACGTTTTACTGAAGTTTCGTTTTATACAGAGGGCTTTAGATAAGAACACAAAACAGAATTCACCATTCCGATGAATTCCGTCAGCTATGACGCAGCATTAAGGGCAGATAAGGAAATTATATTTTATAACTCTGATAAAACATACAAGTTAGTCATACGTGAGATTAATGAATACAAATTTAGTAATATTCAGGTTGCTTTTTATGTCCTTATTTTATTTATCACTTTTTTCTAATAAATATTTCATTTTTGACTATATACATTTATATATTATATTCATAAATCCTTTAACATTTATTTTAAATACAGTTTTTGATTTGCGGTCTTTGTACAATTGTATATTGCCACAAAACGTTTTTAAATCTTATTTACAATTGTTTCTCAAACAAAATCTTTTGGGATTTACATTGCATGCATTAGCTAGATTCTTTGTTCGCTGCGTGCATTGTCGGAGCATGAGAACCGTTTGCCCTAATTTCCTACTGCCTCATTTTAGTGATTTGAAGCGCAAGGTATCTTAAGATGCATGTGGGACGTGTTGTTTAAACCTCAAAGTGAAGATAAATACATGATGATGACTAATATTTTATGTATTATTAATCACTATAACTTCAATAACTCACTTTTATGAAAACAAATAAAGAAAGATCCAAATTTATGTTCTAATCTTTTATATAATATTGGTTCACCAGATCTATAAAAGAGAAATATTCTTTTGATCAGTAACGTTTTTATTTTCTATATTGATTGGAACTGTAATGATATCTCCGTTAAAGATAATTTATTACTAATACACTGATATGTTTTGGAAAAATATTTTTTTGTACATAGCAAGTTCGTGTTGAAATTAATTAGGTATATCACTAGCCAATGTAACTTGACCTTTCGTTACAAAGCTTGGGGCGAGCTATATGTATACCTTATTAATTAAGGAAGTTCGCTTCGTTGATTTGATACGGAAGAAACATTTAGCTGAGAAAAAAAGAATTCTTCTATTTGCAATATAGTATCTTATTTAAAAAAAACACCAGCACAAATACGACCAAATAATCGCTACTTTGTAAAGTAATTGAAAAATATGTATGTAGCTTTTCAAATAGCAACAGTTTATACCGAAGATAATTAATATTATATAATGAAAGACTTGTGACTTGAATATGTATATAAATCTTTATAATTGCTAGTTTAGTTTAACCGGTTGACGCTGATATTCATAATGGGGTAACTAAAACGTCCCGGGAATGTCCAAAGTCCGAACAATTTTGACAAAACAATTAGACTAAGGTCGATGAGTTAGTAACTTCAAAACAATGTCCCTAACATATTTTTGTCAACCCTAATTTGTACAATCTTTCTGATGTAAAAGGGTCATGTTTAACCTAAATGCAGACCTGTACCCACATTACAGTTCAGATGTCAGAGAGGTATAATTTCTTAATCAACTCACCTTTGTTTAAGCTAATTGTATCATTTGCCATTCTATTTGCGCGGAGCTACAAACGGAATACTAAAAACATTGTAACCTAAATGCTTTGCAAAACACGTATGGAGAATTTATTTTGATATTTATCACACGCGCTGATTTGTCACATTACTCGACGGATCAAAACATTTGCTTCGCAATTTAGTGAATTAAGTCTACCAGGGTTGTGAACGAATGTGATTTTTATAAATTTACGAATTCGAGGGGCGTTATTTGAGCTGTATGAGTGATGTTTTTTATTACAAATTACTATCGAAATAACAACTTATTGTATATAAATATTATGTTTATACTTGAGCAATCACTTTCATGTTATTGTTTGCACAGATTTGTAATTATCTCTTTTGTAATCTTTCGTTCATTTCGTGTTCAATACATTTTCAAGGCAAACAGAAATAGATATGGAAATTAGGAAAGCTGAAGTCAAAACACACTTTCTTTGTAAATCACGCCTCAATGAAAATGATTTTTCTTTCACATTCAGATTTCAAAGACTATGAAAACGCTATTAATTAGTATGATGCTTTTAATTTCAAAGCTGTATTTGAAGCAACGTGTTAAATTTTAGTAACAAGCCGAAGCAACCGTTTTAGTCTTTATAGTGTGATATGACGTAAATTTTTCTATTCATTTATCGTAAAATGATAAAGGATGACATAATTCTTTGATTGCTTTTAATAAGGACTTTATCACTGAGTGACTTTATAATATGATAACTACAATTTTGTTTCTTTGCCTAATTATAAATACAAAAAAACCTCAAAAGCCTCAAAAACAAGATAGAAGATAGATGAAATTACAATAGTGTTTGAAGAAATCAGTGACATTAATAAATAATAATATTAGATACGATAATTAAATTAGGAAATAAAATTGATATTCTTTTTTATACACCTTTAAATTAACAACTATGTATTAGAATTAAAGTAGATAAAAATGTACAATCTTCGCGGCCTTACCGCAAACGAGCGATCTCTTTCAGATAACCAACGTATTTAAATTTTACATTTTCATAGGCCTTAATCACTATTAATTTCCATCCTGTAGCGTGAAATAAGTTACAGTGAAAGCTGTTCAAAATTCATAGCTATCAGCTATGGCCTAAACCACCCGCCCACCCTTCTAATAAAAGTTTCTGAGAGCCTCTCAATTAATATACACAACGTACCTGTGTTATGCTTTAACTCAAATCACTCTTCCAATTTGGGACACAACCTGTTTCAAACTGACAAAGAATTTCTTCATAATGATCAAATTGTTCATACCTTTTTTTAACACACGTGTTGTCTTGATTCAATCTAAAATACCTTCAATAAGATCATTATGGGTACTGATTTTATCATATTTTCTGTATTCATATTCACAATTACACATAGTTATTATCAAGAGTTACATAACATTATCATTTAGCCAATCTTGGTCCACTGCTGGACATAGACCTCTCCCAATTCGTGCCACAATACCCGGTCCTTCCGCATATTAATATAACATTATGAATTTTATAAAATATTTCTTGGTTACTCAAATTCTATCAAACCTTATAAAATGTAAATCGTTTTAGCAGATAATTAGCAGCTTGTTTGTTCCAGGGTCGGCGCATTATGGCGAGGACAGTGTGGGCTCGTTTCCATACTTCGAGTATAACGTACCACGGAATGTTACCACCGTTGTCGGTCAGACCGCCTTCCTGCATTGTAGGGTTGAACAGCTCGGCGATAAAGCGGTAAGATTCAACCAAAACAGACAAATCAATAGCCATCTCATTCTGAAATATGAATAAAGTAGTCTCTTGAAGTTTTGAGTAAATTATTTTTGGCACGTCTTTACCATAAAATTTTATAAGACATCGTAGGAACCTGCTCCAAATGGTTAGGACTGCTTTATACGTTCAAGTTTTAAAAGATCGCCTCGTATGTATTACGTAATGTTTTATAAAACTATTAATATAGATACCAACTCAAAATGAAACGAGTGTGGAAAATCATGTGAAAGATAAACAAATTTTTATAATTAAATTACATTCGGAGTTAATTTTAAAACATGAAACTCAAATAGAACTAAAGTACAGTTTTGCAGTTTTAATTCTGTAAAAGAATTATATTATGGTCGTTTTGTCGAATAGAATAAATATGTAAGTAAATATACAACAGTTTATATGTTCCTATATTTTGTGTAAGTGTAAAAAGGCTAAACATATAATGCCGAATTTACTAACCAATAAACATACTAGTTGGCTGAGCGCCAGCTTTGAAAGAGGGTCACAGGTTCAAGTCCTGAATGTTATGAGAAATTTTTCATATCTTTATATTCAAGAAATGATATAGATTTAAAGATTTATTAAAGCAAACTAATCTTAAAGATTGTATATACTGTGTGATCTACACATATGTTAGCAAAATTTTTTATGACTTGGTTTTTAATAAGTTCAACTGAGACTAAACCATAAAACTTTTACTGTGTATATAATTTATGAAACGGTTTAAAATTATTTTCAACTGAAAATCTTTTGAAAAATATTATATAGTTACAATATTTCTACTCTCACAATGAATTATTGGATATAATAACTAAAGAATTTTTAGTTCTTTTATTAAAGCGTACTAAAACTAAAATAGTTTTATGTTTCATCTAGAAGACAAAATAAAGAAATTGTACCACTAGTAGTAACAGGCATAAGTATAACTTATATCACTTTGAAGAAACTGATACTGTCATTGTTGGATCAGTTATGACAATACAAAGATTAAAACTAAATGCTAGGAAACTATCCTTAACAAAAAATGAAACTGTATCGATTTTAGACGATCAAATTGGGAGCTACGACCATATCACAAAGATACACACACACACCCACACACTCACACATATGCAGTATGTACACATGCACACACGTGTACGCAACCAAACAGATACCGACTTCAAAACACCCCCCCCCCCCCTTCCCTTTGGTTCAATCTCTTTCTTTATTTATTTTGGATTAATAGTAGGAACTGTACTAAAATAGTCTTAATCACTTTTTAGTAGCGATAATTGTAACTCTTTTATTGCTTAAACAGATATTTATGAGATATTTCAAAAGTTTTATAATTATAATAACAAATATTTTAGCCGAAGGCGAGATTCAAACTAATGTTAATTTAAATTCATACACACATTACTAATATAATAAATAGGGTTAATTCATGTTACGAATGAATCCATCACGCTCCAGATCAAATTAACGAGGGTCCCAGTAAAAAACAAACGTATCGACCTACTAACTAGTCTCTGTGGGTTCTAAAGATTTTGGTCCAATTAACCTAAATTATAAATATTTTTATTATATCATAGTAGGTACATCACATCTTTTTTAACACACTTATACTAGCTTGGGCTGTATGTATGTATGTATGTAACGGAATCTATGAGCACAATTTTCTCCGGTTTCTAAACATCTAATTAACTTGAAACTTTGTATATGTCTCAATGAAAATGCAAAAATTCTTTAAAAATTTCCCATTATCCTTGTTAGGGCCGCCAGGATTAATATATTCTTTTCATAGATCCTCTATGAGAGTGAAAGGGACAGAGCTAGTGTACAACAAATCGTCCTAAAAATTTAAAATTAATATTAGTTACAAGGGTTTTTATTATTTTTTTTTTTATGACTCATTTTCAAATCTCATACAATCTGTCATATAATATCTAATGTTGAATTATTTGTTTACGAGCTATACATATTATATTGTAAATGACAATTAATAGCTGAAGGCAATCCCACATCAAAGACAAGACATTAAATTAAAGTATATGTTAATGACATCCTTCGTAAGGTTAAACGAAGTAGAATACTTTTCATTATTTAAAAGGCCCCTCATTTATATAACGTATCCCTTGCAAAGTATTTTCCTTCGGGCGAAGTTAACTACGTCAATACATTATTTCTTTCTCACAAATATCTCTCTGTTTACAATCAGATCCTTTGAAACCGAAAAGTTAATTTGTATATAATGAATGTTTCATCTTTATAATTAATGTACAATATATGGCTATATATTTGGTTGTTGACTGCTACGTAATGAAATTTAATAGAAATAAGTATATTAAAATATTTCTAATTTATATTCTTAGGTGTCATGGATAAGAAAAAGGGATCTACACATTTTAACAGCTGGAATTTTGACATACACTTCAGATCAGAGATTCCAGGTTAGTTGTTTTACAAGTCATGTTAACCATATAAATTTATTTTTGCGTATTTTTCTCTTAATTTTGAAGGAAAAAATAACTTAGTTATTATTACCTTGAAATCGAAATTAATATATTAATATGAAATAGTTTTTATATAAAATCTCTTAACATTTTCTGGGTCATGGACATTTATATTAAATTATATTATAAGTTAACCTCACTGGCACTCTAAAGTAACCCTTGATTCAGTTTTCGCTCTCGTATTTTGTTGACGACATATGAGTACCTCTTATAATTTCTTCTCATTTATCAAAATAACAACAAAATAATATAAATATAAATATTGAATTCCATTAGAATGTAAAACGATAATGTAACTTTAAAAGAAAAGTATTTTATTTATATTATATCAAATGTCTGTTTCAATAAATTATCTTTTTAGGTCATAAGGCCAGATAAGTCTGAGAACTGGACTCTTCAAATCAAATTTCCTCAGGAAAGAGACGCTGGCATCTACGAATGCCAAGTAAATACGGAACCGAAGATGTCTCTGGCATTTCAATTAAATGTTGTCGGTGAGTTGATTAAATTATTGAACATTTTTATATTTTTATTTCTTATTCTTAAGAACTACAAAACATTGTTGGCGTAGCAATTTTTTAATTAATTTTTAGCAAGAAATACAATTTTTGTTGATTATATTTTTGTGCTCATAAACATTACTATGTGGCAATAAAATCTAATTTTCTCTACCAATAACTACTAAATTAGTTTTAGGTAGTTAAAATCTAGCTTGAAAATCGAGAATTATAAATTTGAAAGAATTGTCTTCCCAATAGTTTTCAATCCATAATATTATTATGTTAATTGAAATCTGTTAAAGTTACACTTCCTTTTGTAATTTTCTCGCTCTGTAATTAAGGCTTTCTGGCATTTTGCCTCCGTGGAATGACCTCACTAGAAATCTTGTAATTAAACTTTTTTTTTATAAAAATAATCAACAACCTTGGATTGTTTTATACCGCTTGAACTGCTTTAAGAATTTCAAGAATGATTGAGTTTTATATTAAAATGTCGAAAATACGTCTTTTAATATAAAACTTTCTTCCACATCAAAATACTTCAAGATTTTAGAAATCCGATTATTTTCGAAAATCGATATTAATTAATTTTAATTGATAAAAGTTATTCTTACTTCTTTGTATTTTTTATATCAACTTTAATAATATTTATCATAGGCATAGTGTTGGTTTATCTTTATTAAAAAGGAAAATATTTATTTCCTTAACTATAAAAATATTACAAATAAATACCTTATGCTTATTTCTAAAATCTAATTTTCTTTGGCATAACCATTGTTCTTTACATAACTTTAGAAGATTGACCAATAGTTTTAACCATAAATTAAATATTGAATATATTTAAATACTGTTTACGTTTATTTAAAACATATATACATACATATTATATATGTTGTAGATAGTAAACATAATATATTTATATATGTAAGACACTTAAAACACTTAAGGTTGTCGGTTACAAAGGTGACAATATAAAAGTGAAACACGCCACTTTGCAGCACTTAACTTAATACATTTTAGTTTGGAATTCTCTTCCTTTGTAATTAATCTTCTCCCTTGATCTTGTGGTTACAATCACCGTACTTTAATCTTTTAATAAGATTTCCTTAAGATAATGGAAAAATTGCTGACAAAGCAATTTAAGGTTTCACAAAAGAAATACTTTTTAACAACCCACGAAACAAAGGCGCCTGCTTATCCACCCATCTTAGTGATACTTAACTCTGAGCTAGATTTAATACGGTAATTTAAAATAATTAGCTTTCAAATTTTTTTAAATATTTAGAATATTAGATATTTACGTGTTATGTTTATCAATGTGGTTAAACCGAAAAAAGTTTGTTCCAGAATAGTTTCAATTAATAATTTTAGCATTATGCTATTTATTTATTTATTTATTTATTTAAAATCTTTATTGTCTAACTACACACGTAGATACAAAAGGTGGACTTAATGCCTGAAGGCATTCTCTCCCAGTCAACCCTTAGGCAAAGCAGAAAGACATGAAGACGGTAGTATGTAAAAGTAAAAATACACATATTAATTTCTGTTGATATATACATAATATATACACATATATATAGATACATATACATACACATACATATACATACACATACATACACATACATACACATACACATACATACACATACATATACATACACATACATACACATACATATACATACACATACACATACATATACATATACATACACATACAAATACAATACACCAAAAACAATAATAAAAACAGAGACTTAACACAGATTCTGAGCAAAATGTTCCTGTAAGCGACGCCTGAAAATTGCCCTTGTAGGTGCCTTTCTTATTTCTAGTGGAAGTTTATTCCACAGTCTGATAGATTTAACAGAGAAGGAGTTGGAGAGGAAACCAGAGTGGTGGCTGGGAAAAGAGAGGAGGAGAGAGTCATTAGAGCGTAGCTGTCGATCATGATTGTCGCAGAGAAATTTAAAATTATCTTTTAAGTAAAGAGGAGATTGGGGATCAAAAAGAATAGAGAAAAGAAGACACAATAGACGTAATTCTCTGCGTTGGCGGATGGGAAGCCATTTGAGCTCTGCTCGACAGTGAGAAATGTGGTCAAATTTACGAAGACAAAAGATAAAACGTAAGGAGTTATTTAGAAGACGGTCAAGTTTGTTCAAAAGGGTTTCATTGAGATCAGGATAACACACATCAGCGTAATCTATAATAGGAAATATAAGGGCTTGTACAAGTAAGATTTTAGTTTTAATAGGTAAAAAATTCCTTAAACGATTAAGGCACCTTAACGTGGCAGTGACAGAACGACTAACTTCAGAAATATGCACATTCCAACTTAATGTACTATCAATATGAAGACCAAGATCTTTAACGCGGTGGAAGTATGGAATAGTCGTATTGTTAAAAACGATAGGTGACAAAGAAGAAATATTTAACTTAGACATGAGACGTGAGCTACCAACAATGATCGCCTGACACTTAGTAGGGTTAACTACAATGCCAAATTTATTACACCAGTTGTAAACGTAAGAAAGATTTTGATTTATTTTATTTATAGCTGTTTCGATATTGTCTATCTCTGAATTAGAGTATAGTTGCAAATCGTCGGCGTAAAAATGATAAGAACAGTCGAGATGAAAAGAAAGGAAATTTATAAAAAGAGAAAAAAAATAATAGGAGATAAAATGCCACCTTGCGGAACGCCAGCAGAAAGATCAAGCCACTCGGAGAGGGACTGATTCAGCCTAACCGCTTGCCGGCGGCCGCGAAGATAAGAGGAGAACCATTCCAGAGCTGATGAAGAAAATTTTAAATGCTTGAATATGGCCAGGACGATATCATGATCAACCATGTTAAAAGCATTGGAAAAATCAATTAAGACCAGAATGGTGATCATTCTATTCTCCATGCCAACCCGAATATCCTCAGATACTTTGAGAAGAGCGGTAGCTGTGCTATGGCCTGGTCGGAAGCCAGACTGATATGAGGTGAGAATATTATTATTGTAAACAAAGGAAGAGACCTGCTTGTAGACACACAGCTCCACAATTTTCGATAGAAAAGGAAGAATAGAAATAGGTCTGAAGTTATTTAGTTGGGAAGGATTGGGAACTTTAGGAAGTGGAATGATGTAAGCTGTACGCCACAAGGAAGGGAATTCTCCAGATGAAATGGAAAAGTTTACAATATGAGTAATAGCCGACAGTACATAGTCCAGAATAGGTAAAATCATAGGTCGATTGATACTATCAACACCAGTAGCATTAGATGTTATTGAAATGATTATTTTACGAATTTCATCATCAGACACTGGAGAAAGGACTAATTCGTTAAAAGGAAGAGAGGCCATGGATTCAATCTCAGAAATAGTAGATAATTTAGTATTTTGAGATAACGGAGAACTGGAAGAAAAATATCTGTTTAATGTATCAGGAGAAAACGAAGAGACAGCAATGTCTTCATTCCGTTTATTTATACCTAGTGTTTGAAGAAATTTCCATACTGAGGCCGAAGATGCATTGCTAACATTAACGTGACAATAGTGGCGTTTGGCTGTTCTTACCATTAGATTACACCTGTTGCGAGCTACCTTATACAAATCCCAGTTTTCTTTGCTCCTATCACGCTTAAACTTGCGGAAAGCGCGATCGCGTCGTGACATGGCCATTCGGACTCCTTTGGTAATCCAAGGAGCAGGCGGACGCCTGATCTTAACAGGTCTCAAAGGTGCGTGTTTATCGAACAGTGATAAAATAGACAAGTTAAAGTGAGAGACTTTATCATCTACTGTCGATGAACGGTACATCAAGGACATGTCCAGCGATCTTGCATCTTCTTTCAAAGCCTCAAGATCAATTTTAGCTAGGTTTCGCATCGATACTATTGGAGCTTTAGCTTTAGGTGACTTAAGCTTGTATGATAAATATATAAGGTCGTGACGAGAAAACCCGGGAGCTGCAAGTTGTCCATATTTAATCACAGAATTTTTAGAAGAAACTATGATAACGTCCAACCAAGTGTCAGGCGAGTCAGAGTTATGATGTGTAGGTTCAGAGGGAAGAATGTTGAAATTCACCGAATCTATGAGTTGGGAAAATTTAAGAGAACGTGGAGTGGTTTTCAACAGATCCGTGTTTAAATCGCCCATGATAATATGATGTGAGTAATCCGAAGAAAGGGATTCCAGGATAGGTTCAAGTGAAGAGAAATAGTCAACAGTAGGAGGACAATAGATAACTCCAAGAACAGCTTTTACACCCCTGAGACGGATTTCAAGGAATATAAATTCAGCAGAAAACGAGAAAGAAGAAGGAGAAGTAAAAAGAACAGTATAAGCAATATCCGAACGAAGGTAGATAGCAACACCTCCTCCCCCTTTGCCTACCCGATCGTTCCGAATCAGTACAAAACCGGGAAGACTATATAAGGTGGAATTAAGTGAGGGTTTCAACCAACTTTCGGAAATCAATACTGCGTCTACAGGGGCGTATGAAAAGGCTTCAAGAAAATCAGAGAAATGAGAAGGTAAACTTTGAGTGTTAAGATGACAGACATTAAAAGAGCTGGGAGAGTTAAGAAAAGAACTACATAGCAAAGTCCCAAGCGTCTCAGGAACATGGAAAGAATCACCATCTGTGTACGAGGAACAACTACTACTGCATGCTGATAAAAATACATCATCATCTGTATCAGACATAATACTACAATTATATTATAAATAAGATAAAAATACGTATACGATAAATTAATTATTAAATAAATGGATTTAAATATATATGTATGAAAAAAAATAAAATAAAAATAGGTATATATAAAAACCAAAAAACAAAAAGAAGAATAATAACAATTATTCCTGCTTGTCCCGCCAGCTGACGGTTACATTAAAACTGTACTAATCAATAAACACTAATGATAACAAAAAAAAAATATATATATATAAATAATTAAAAAAAAAAAAATAAAAAAAAGTTAAAGAAATAAAAAAA